CTTCCACCTGCACTTTCAACTGGACCACGGCCAATCAGAGAGGTCCCGACTATCTCTGATTGGTTTAGTCCACGATAGGGGCATAATGTGTGTGTCTGTTGTTGACCACACGGAGACTTGCAGACATTTATTTTTGTTACCAGAACAGTTGGTCGCACAGGTGTGACCAAATATTTTTTTTTGTTGCACCACTGAAAATTGGTCACATATAAGAATATCTTGTGGTACTTCTAAAATATTACCAAATGACCGTAGAAGTCCCAAATCATGACTGATGATATAATGGAAATAGTGCATATCAACAGGTCTCCGTTGTAGAGCTCCACAAAGCTTTGTTAACATTCTTTCAAAGAACTACCTCCTTATTAATGGTCCCTAAAACAAACTGTCTAAACCTGTGGGACATGAATGTGAAACGTTAGAAGCAGACACACAGTTTCCACTCTTTGTCTTCTCTCTGTTGGCTCACTGTGAGGTTTACATTAGTTATTACCACAGAGAGCACAGGATGAGTGTTGGGTCTGTGTTTCCACAAGCCCCGCTGCTTTAGAGACTTATTCATCATGAAGAAAACAAGACAGTCAGCGATCGATCGATTTACTTGCAAGGGAGGCCTAGTCGTTGTCTACCACAAAATGACCCCCAAATCCAGCCTCCACTTGCTGCCTTTTATTGGGAAAACAGTTCACATATACACAATAGTTTACACGCACCTCCCCTCGTAACCCCCCTTGGTTACAAAGACAAGGCACTGTATGTATATCTGTGTGTGTGTGTGACCTCCTGCTGGCCAAAAGGGTCATAAAAGCAGGAAGCAACATCACAAGAAACAGATCTTCCAGATAGAATGTATCTGCAATAAAACACTACAGCCCCCCCAGAACCTCGAGAATCTGGGGAGGGGGACAAAATAATTCCTTTCATCACAGAGTTAAAACAGTGTAGAGATGGGAAGCATAAAAATGACAACACTCAACAATGCACTTACCTGGATGCTGTGCCACATTATCAGCTCCTCCATAACTCTGCAGGATCCCAACAACTCTTGACCTCTTAACTCTGAACTCCTACAATAGGCAAGACACATTTTTACTGGAGGTCATTGTTCCAAAATAAATGACTTGAACTTTAAGCTGTTTGTTTATTTGCATCATGTTAATGTCAACCTGAAGATTTATTTTTGTCACAGACAAACCAGACAGAAACCAGTCTGTAGACCAGTTTTAACCAGTTTAAATAAATAAATAATAAATAAATTTTTATTTATATAGAACCTTTCTAGATAGAATCACAAAGTGCTGCACATAAGATAAGTCATAAAAAATTAAAAAGGCAATATATAACAGGCAAACATTAACCAAAAGCAGTTTTAAAAAGGTGTGTTCTGAGTTGTTTTTTAAAAACGACTATGAGTCCACAGTTCTTCAGTTTAAACACTGAGGGAGCCACACTGTCGATCAAGATGCAGTATATATATTACATGGTGTGACAGTCCATATGGAATTATCATATTAGCTGCAAAAGTGCGGTGTGAATGCTGCATCGCTGAAACTGCCTGCTGAAAAACGTTTCCTCAGAGCTGCTTGTTGTTAAATGGTGACAAATTGGCAGAAACTTTAAAAAAGCAAGAATAAACAGCCAGCAGGAAAACAAATGTGGAACAAAATTAAGGTAAATGGCACAAGGTTTTACACACAACATTTAGGTAATAAATGCACAAAATGTTGCGATCAGAGATTTTTTAAAAAAAGTTATTGAAATTCCAATTCCATGAATTTATTTTTTAAATAATTCATTTGAAGCATGGTTGAAAAGCAATGTCTGACTTTCATTGGTTAAGATTTATAGAATTTTTATTTATTATTACTTTTGTCAGATTAAAGTTATTTCTGTGACCATTGTGAGTTTTTCTTTCATTGACCGAAGGGTACCAACAATTTTGTCCA